CTTGTTTGCCCTTATTCTTGTGCCTTCTTTTTAAGCCTTGGGATCACCTTGTTTTGGTGTTTTAAGGTCCCAAAAAGGAGAGGGTCATCCCCTCTCCTTGTGTTTTCAATATTTGCATTAATATGCCTCATGTGTGAGCATGTTTGTTAAGTTCATGTTGGCCATATTTTAGCATGTATTTGTGCCTATTTTGCTAAGGCTCACCACTGTTTTTGCTTGTCTTGGTCATTCCATACATGGTTTATACACTTGTAGTGTAAATCACACACACTAGCTTTATATGCTTCATGTTTGAGCATGCCTTTCTAGCCTATGTTGTGTCCATTTCAGCATGTTCTTGGGCTTATTTTACCATGTCATACCTCCGTTAGGGTTTGGTTTAATAGCTCCTTGCATGCTCCATGCACTTGTAGTGCATTTCCATGAAATAGCCTAATGTGTCTCATGCTTTAACATATCATTTTAGCATGCTTTTGGCTTAGCTCTAAGAAGACTTTGTTCATGTTTTACCATGTTTAAGGTCTGATTTATGTTGTTTTGGTCATATATGCCATGCTTTGTATAGCCATAAGACATTCTTGCTTGTTAGCTTTGAGTGTCCAAGTCACTAGCATGCTTTACTTGGGCCATTTCAGTGATTTGGCATCACTTGTTATATTATTTTAGTCCGTATAGCATGCTCATATACTTGCACTTATCACTCCTTTAATGCTTTAAAGAGTTGATGTTTTATACCTCGTGAATGGGTCATTGTGTGTGTCATCATGTTTAGGTCTTTGGGATGCCATCTAAGTGGGTTTTCGGTCTTGTTTTACCATGACATAACTTTGTTTTTCATTGCTTGAGTCATGCCATCTTTGGTTTTGATAGGTGTAGTGTAACACCTCTTTTGTAGCCTTGCATGCCTCATGCTTTCAGCCCTTTGTTATAGCATGTTTTGGCCTCATTCCTTACATGTTTTAGGCTTACTTTGGCATGCTTTAGGACTGTTTTGGTTCACTTTGGCCATTTGCATCATGTTTCACATAGCCTTGGTTTGAACCCCTTGGCTAGCCTTAAACCTTGAGCCTTCTTGCATGATTTACTGGTTTTGTTCGGTTGGTTTGGCACCTTTCCTAACATGGTTTCAGAGCTTACAATGTATGTCACATGTCCATGTTTGTCCTCTTTTAAATGCTCTTGAAAGTTGCCCTCCAATGCCTAGATGTTGGACCATTTACATGTGCATATTTGCTTTGCATTTTCATGCTTCCAATTCATGACTTTGGCCACGGATTTGGGCATGTTTGAGAGTAGCCCATTTTGGTTTAAGTCCATCTTACCATGTTGTTGCATGCTTGTTTCATTTTGCATGTTGTTGCATGCTATGCATGTTTGCATACTTAGGTTGTATGCCTATTACATGTTGTATGCGTGCATGCTCATATTGCATTAGATTTGTATCATGCTTGAGTTGCTTGCATGCTTGCTTGCATGCTTAGGTTGCATTGCATTGTGTGTGCATTCCTTTGCCTCTTAATCAAGCATGATAGAGGTTGGGGCCCCTTATCTGCTTTTGCGCATTTCATTTGATATTGAATTGCACACTTGGCTCCTTTGGCCATCATGCATTGAAATGCATGATTGGTGGTCCGAAGGTCGAGAACTACACACCTTTGAGTCTTAAACATGATAAGGGGTGTAGTTGTGCAGACATTGTCTTGTAAATGTATTGCCATGCCCTGTTTGTCCTCTGCTGCAGCAACAGGAGCTTTTCACAAGAAGAGACAGTCGATCGACCACATTCAGTGCCGATCGGCAACAAACATTTGGCCGAGAGCCTTCCTTTTGGTCGATGACCAGTTTCCCTTGGCTGATGGCTCTACATTTTGGCCGATGGCCTCTCAGCATGATGATGAAGTGGTTCTGGAGCATCACAGAGACTTGCGCAGTCTCCAGAGGTACAGAGCAGTGCAAACAGAGGCAACATAAAGCATGGCAATGGATTTCCAAGCGAAGCCGACCGAGCATGCATTCGTCCCTCTTTCCGAGGTTGTTTTACTATTTTTCATAGCTTCATTAATTTGTTTAATTAGTTAAGTGTTGTGTAATAATTAATTAGCTCGTTAGTTAGTTAATTAGTTAATTTGTATTATTCTTTCGGTCCCTCCGTTGAGAAGGTACAATTTTGTAATAAGCGTGCGTGTGTGTGATGCATGTCTTCCAATCTCCATTTCTTTCTCCCTTTTACTTAACCATTTACGATGGTTAGTTCTAGGGCATATTTCAATTAGCATCCTTATGCTATGCATGTTTGCACCATTCATCTGTATTGCATGCACTGAGCTCGGCGCATCATACTAACTGCATTGTATTTCAATTTCAAGTTGAATACATGTATCAAATTGTCGCATCTCATATGCCATCTTAGAATAGCCGAGCCTATTTCTAGTTGCATTTTGCATGTATTGCATTAGCCATCTTAACATGAACTAGGGTCATGCATTGATTTCTAACTAGTTCTCTATTTTGGCTCGGAGTACACTGTGAGTGTTTATGCTTTAGCATACTGCATGGGTGTTAATGTTGCCATGTCAACATGCTTGCCATGAGGCTAATTGCTTATGTGATATAACTGCCAGAATGTCTATGGGTGAATGTTGAATTGCTTGAATTAGAACGATTCATTAAAATCCGTATTTTAGCCTACTTGCAAGTAGCAAACTTCAAACCGTTTCCAAACGAACGGATATATGATGCTTTGTTTCAAATTAGGCGATCTAGTCTATTCTTGTGTGTTGTACGCATCACATAGTAAATTCTAGCTAATAACCAGAATAAGAACGCATGTGTTTTCAAAAATAAGATATCATGCTTAGTACAGGCAGATCTTTGATCGGGCGAGCGGCGGTGCTCATAGATGACCTTCCCCAATCGTACCCAAGTTCTCGAGCCGAGGCAACTTTGGTGATGACGGACACGTGGCCTTAGGCACGAGTTAGGGTTTCCTAAATTCCTCTAAAAATAAAATATTTAGGTGGCGACTCTGTATCTGGAAAAACAGTCCATGTTTGGTACTTCTTTCTTAAAAATCAGTTTTCCAAAACGATTTGTCAGATTTGGAATCTTTGGTGATTTATCAATCTCACATCGCACATGGTGAGATCAGATTAAGAACCGTGACATTTGAGTCTGAACTGTAGCATGAAGCCCAAGGGCGCGCCTACACCTCATCTTCTTCCTATACTTGAAGAAATTTTTGTTGAATGGCATTGGCGTAATCCGCCATATAGCTCGGAATGAAGTGCTGAGGAGGGTTTTGGATGACCTTAGCTTCGTGGCCATAATCGAGCTGTGACAAGGCCGCCTTCCATCCGCATTTGAAGAATATGTCCTTTGCAGCTTCACATTGCAGGATGTAGATGGCCTCACCCTCCTTGTAACCACGGTCTTCAGCGTCGTCCGCGCTTTTCTTTAGCTCGGCGATCTCTGCATCCTTCTTTTTCTCAAGCTTGGCAAGCTCGTGCAAGTAGCGATCTTTCAGCCCGGCTAAACCCTTCTGCTTGTCCGCTTCCGCCGAATTGACCAAACCGGTGAGTCGGGCTATTTCGGTCTGTAGCTCGGCCGTTCTTTTTTTGGATTCCTCTAGTTCGGCCGTCTTGGCGTTGGCTTCTGCCACAGCTTGCCGTGTGGTCTTACGCAGCTCCAACACGCGCTTGTGAGCAACGTGATTCTTCTGCATAGCCTGCAGAGAGAGAGATAGCAATAATGATTAAAACCGTGCAAACAGATGTATAGATTAGAAAGACAACAAAAGAAACTTACCAGCACCATTGACTTCGTCGCTGAGCGAATGGCCTTCAGCTTGATCAAATGATCATGATGCTCCATGTCGGCTGGCAAGTATACACTCTTAGCAAGATTGAAGGCGAGCGAGTGGTCTTTTTCAGCGACCACTGAATATGTGTTCACAATGGTCTGGTTCTTAAAGGTCACTCTTGGTGTCCACTCAGAAGGGCTAGCCCGGTTAGAACGCATGGGTTCTGGGCTCGGTTGTGTGGTCTCTAGAAGTACGGTGTCATCTTCATCGACGAGATGTGGCCTGGTCGAAGAAGTGCGAGCGCGTTTACTGGGCCGAGATTACGAGGCATGAGCTATTGGAAGAGCTACCACGGCCTCATGTGTTTGTCCGGCCCATAGTACCTCGGTTTGGTCCCCGACGGCTGGGGCAGTTGTTTCGGTGATTAGTGCTCTGACTGCTCTCTTCTTAGCCATTTCTTGCTCCTATGTTAATGGGATCAGATTGATCTGAGGTAGTGTTAGATCTGGTTCTGGTGAAGGTTCTAGAAGGAAATCTGTCACCCTAGTCTTCTTCCTATTGCTGTATCTGTACGTCAGTTCAAAATTGAGTAGCTTGGCCCAACCTCTATCACGGTACCAAAGCGCAGCGCGGAGTGCGTCTAGATTGGGGTATTGGTACTACGATTTTAGTTGGTTCAAGTCTGCATAAAGAAAAAAGGCAACAGTTAGCGCGGCACAAAACTTATAAACAGTAAAGAAAGCACAAGCTAAGCCGATGTATTTATACCGGCTACTCCTTTATTCCAGTTAAATTGGTTGTTCGGTATCTGGGCTTCCTGATCTTCGAAGTTGCCCGAGACCCAGAAAAAGTCGTCGTCATTTACGTCTTTGTCCGGTGTATTTTTGATTATTTTCTCTCGGTGTCTTCTTATTCTTAAATAATATACCCAGCCATCTTCATTCTGGCCAAGTGAATATTGTTGAAAAAGCTCGGCTAAACCGAGGTTGAGGCCAAGCCGGCGATTTAGCTCGGTGATGCCATTTATTATTCTGTATGAATTGGTGCTAAGTTGGGTTGGGCATATTCTAGTTTGCCTAAGGAATTCGCATAGGAGTGGTTGAACTGGGAATCGGAGGCCGGCTTCAACAATGGATAGCACGGTAAATGGAACAAAACCTTGTTTTCCCCAGGGCGTGGTATCTAGTTCGGTTAGGGAAAGATGGACGTCATCTGGAATTTGGTAATCCTTTCGAAACTCAACTATGGCCCCTGGTGAGTTTACTAAGAATCGATATTTTCCCATGTGGACTTAAATTATGTATAAATTAACTCGGAGCCTTAGCTTGATGTTGAGATGACGTTGGGTATCTCGGTTGAGCGTACAAATGTGTGTCTGGCCAAACCTAGTCAGTCTGCAAAGTGAAGATAAAAAGTGTTATGCCCAGACAAGTGCACCGGGCTAAATAAGAAGGATAAGCAAATGATAAAAACTCTAGATTGGCTAAGTAGGTTGCAACCTTTAGCTCGGTCATAGTGCAAGTTTTTAGCCCAGTTATTGAGCATTAAGGGTCCTAACCCAGTCAGGGCACAAGTTTTTAGCTCGGTTATTGAGTAAGGTTTCCTAGTCTGGTTGGAGTAAAGGATTTTAGCTCGGCTAAATGAAATGGAAGGTTCTTAGACTGGTTGAAACTTAAGGTGTGGCGTGAAGTTTTACTTCGGTTAATGGGGGAGTTATCTAGTTCTGCTGGGTGCACACCTAAATACAAACAGGTTCCTAGTTCGGTTGAAGTATTATTTTAGATCAAATGAGTCATTTTTCAGATTGTTTGTGAATCCAGTGGATCTATTACATGGTTTTTGGAACAAAGTGGTTATTTCCCATTGAAATGGGAACTATAATAGTGTGTTTTGAGAAACATACGAATATTATACTACATACCACAAGACTATACAAACAAACAGAAAATGGGATTGAGTTACTTACAGTTTGAAGACAGGAGGACGCAGATCAAAGTCGCAGGAATGGCAGAGAGAACACGAGCTTTGCAAGGATTATGGTGGTGAAAATGGAGGCTCAGAGGGCAAGAGAGAGAAGATGAATAGTAGAAGTGGTTGGTTCAAAACGTAGGGTTTTTGTATAAAGCGTATGGAAAAGGCAGGACTGTTCAAAAATTTCGAAGTACGAGGGCGGCGTTGACAGCTGTACTCAACCAATAGGGGGCCAGCCCACTGTCTATGGAATAGCAAGCGATTCAGATGTACAGCGTGACTGAAGAGACGTTTTTTGACCGAACAAATCGGTGGCCCGATGACAATTTAGCTCGGTTGAAGATCTGAAGTTTTAACTCGGCTGGTAACAAATAATCCCAATCATGCTACGCAGATGGAATTAAGGGGCAATTGAGAGGGAGTTTTTATGAGCATTAAGGCCGAGCTAAGCCCAGGCGTAGTAATAGGCCGTTCTATGGGCCGTGGTGAAAAGGGCTTAGCGAGTGGACCTTAGTGTTAGCTCGGTCCCAGTATGGTTACAGTCACTACGGTCGGAGTGGTGATAATTAGCTCGGTCATAGTATTTGGAGTCGAGGTATTTGGGCTTCTTATGGTGGACCTTGCTCTTGTTAGCTTGGTCAAAGCTTGCTGTAGTTAGTTCGGTCTCAACAGACAAAACCGAGGTACAAGTGAACAAGAGCCGAGCTATGTGTTGCATGTGAAGGCGCTGGATTAAGTATGACAAAGGGCTAGTGTTAGCTCGGTCATATTGTCATCTAACCGAGGTAAAACCATCTCACTTGGTTTAAGCAGTGAGGGGGGTGTTGAAGAATAAACATGATCTTTCAGGAGTGTGATTCCTAGGAGGACTCTACATGGAGGAATAAGAGTCCTACTAGTATTGTGCCAGGCAAAAACTATAAAAGCTCACAACATAGCCTATGTAGAGGTAACACACAACTTTGATTCTCGAATACACATAGCTTTTGTCTATTTGTCTATTTTGCTGACTTAGGCATCGGAGAGGTATCCGGCACACACCCGCCGACTAGCTCACGTTTGTGTTTTCAGGGAGTAAAGCGACGACATTTGGAGGAGTGCAAACTTGATCAACAGAATCATACGAGAACATTATTCCATGCTCGTACACTTTCTATGATAATGAGAGTAATTAACCCTATTTGATGTATTTTTAACTTGTTAACAAAACCTTTAGTTTGTACCGTGATAATCATTAATTTTGTATTGATATTATTGTGCAAGAGCAATAGAAATGTCTTGGTACACCATGTAGAGCATTGCTCTCCGACCATTATAAATCAATACAAAGTTGTGATTTATACAATTATCTTATCATTTGTGATGAATGTACTTGTGTTGTTGTGATTTATTAATACAATTAACCAATAACATTATGCTCGGATCGTATGGTCAAAAAAAAAAATTAAATAAATAAATAAAAGATAGTTTTAATCCCTAAAATATACATTATTTTTTATTTTAATTTCTTAAGTTTAATTTTGTCATTTTAGTCCTCAAAATTGTCAATTTAAGTAAGTTTGTTTCTAGGTCTAACGTCTGTCTACATTGATAACGGAAATATGGATAAAAGACAATTTTAATCCCTAAAATATGCATTTCTTGTCATTTTAGTCCTACGAGTTTTAAATTTTGTTATTTTGGTCCTCAAAGTTGTGAATTTAAGTTAATTTGGCCCTAACTCAAGTTGACAACGTTGAGGACCAAAATTACTAGATTTAAAACTTGAGGGACTAAAATGACAAAAAAACTCAAACTCATACCGTACAGGGGAGAAATATTCGTTGTTTTCCGTACACCTTGCTACCAAGCTCACCTTGCTCCGAATGGACTCTAATTCATTGCGAATAGAACATAAGTAAGCTACCTGGTGGGTGGTTTGCTAGAAAACCCCTCCGACGGTGAAGTTAGTTCACTTGAGGAAGAAATAGTGCAGAGCACTAGAGAGAGAGAGAATTGCAAAAGTTTGCTTACCCTTCTCTGGTGGTCAACGTGCACCTTATCTAGGTTGGCTAGGCAGCTCAAGACTGTGCACACACTATCTCTGTCGTCCTTTCCGGGACACGTGGCAATATTTCCCCCGCTCTTCGTTACATGTATACGCGTCAATACCACCAGCTAACATTGGTCAAATTGCCAAACGGTATTAACAAGTTCAGGTGGATTCCTCGCCAAATTCTATTAGGCCACGTGGTATGCCCTAGCCTAGCAACCACTTTTGTTATTCTCAAATATGCTAGCTAAAGTCCTCTAGTCGATCCAGCATAGGTCAGCCGTCGGTCGATTTTCTAGCTCGGCCAAACCCACTATGGCATTGACCTTTAGCCTGTTTCTTGTTCTTTAGCTCAGTCATAGGTGGTTGGCTTGCCCTTGACTCAGCTCGGTCCATAACCAAAGTGCAGTTCATTATGTAGCTCGGACCTTACACTACCTGACCCAAGCTTGTGGTCCAAACCAAGCCTAGCTCGGTTGGTTCAAAGGTTGGTGTTGGCCCAGCTTATTCTTAGCCTGGCCCAACATTAGAGCCTTGGTAGATTTAGCTCGGTCAAACGTCGAGGCCTATTTGGCTTGATCCAACGCCGAGGCCCATTTAGCTCAATATATTTGTTCGGCACAAATTCCCCTCTTAAATATTATTGTACAAGAGCAATAGAAATGTCTTGGTACATCATGTAGAGCATTGCTCTCGGAGCATTACAAATCAATACAAAGTTGTGATTTATACAATTATCTTATCATTTGTGATGAATGTTATGTTGTTGTGATTTATTAATAAAACTAAACAATAACATTATGCTCGGATCGTAGGGTCAATAAATAAATAAATAAATAAATAAAAGATAGTTTTAATTCCTAAAATATGTCTTGTTTTTTTTTTTTTTTTAGTCTCTTATGTTTTAATTTTGTCATTTTAGTTTTTAAAATTGTCAATTTAAGTCAGTTTGATCCTAGGTCTAACATCCATCTACATTGATAATAGAAATATGGATAAAAGATAATTTTGGTTCCTAAAGTATGCATTTCTTGTCATTTTAGTCACTTAAATTTTAAATTTTATCATTTTAGTTCTCAAATTTGTCAATTTAAGTCAAATTAGTTATAACTCAAATTGAAAATGTTGAAGATCAAAATGACAAAATTTAAAACTTGAGAGAATTAAAAATATACACTCTTTTTAAAATTGAACAATTGTTTGACGCACAACATTTCATAATGATAAAGAAATACATTCATTTTTCAAAAATCAAATGATAAAAACCATTAAAAGTAAGATCATTCAACTTCAGTGTAGATTGGTCTGTCTAGTATATTAGAGAGAAATCAAAACTCTTAGGATTGATGTTACTTTGACTATATTGGAATCCTAGTTTGAGTTTGCTTTGATCTTGATTAGGTTTTTAATGAAATTGATTTGCAAGTACTTGGAATTTGAGTTCTGAAAAAGTTGGGTATAAGAAATGCAACAATCAAATATTCATGAGTTCAAGTGAGTCCCACTTAGAGGATAATGCTAATCTGTTAGGTGAAAAAAAAAGATGTTAAAAAGATTTATTGAAGAACTGGTGTTAATAATAAGTTCAAGAATATGAAAACTAATTCATAGAAGAATTTGTATAGATGGACAAAATTTTAAAGAAGTAAAGTTTCATAAACAAATTTTATAGGCAAAAAAAGTTAACGAAAGCGTGTTGCTTGTGGACCCCATTTGCAAAAAAAGTTAACAACCTTTATTGTAAGAAAAGTGCGAAAAATAAATATTTTGGTATGTAAAATATATATTGAGATTATAAATATTTTATTTTTTATGTTTTTTTTTGTCATTTAAATTATATATTTATATTTAATTTCTTGTAATAATAGCAAAACTAGTGTTTTCAAAGGAAAAGTCTCTCAAGTTTTTTTCGGTAGCGCTACATATACCAATTAATATATTAATTAGTGCATTAATGCTAGTTATCAAAAATTTCTTAAATTATGTCACATCATCAATGGGTACACTAGTTAGTACACTAATTGATATATATAGCATTGTTTAAATTTTTTAGGTAAGTGATTTTGTGATGGAAATTAATTTTTATAGTGTGGAGTTCATGTGAAATTCATATAGGTATCATGGAGATTAATTTCTGAGTAATATTTAGATTGATAGAAAAACAAATTTGTAGTATTACTCAAGGGAACCTTACATATAGGTCGGAGAAAAAAAAAAAAATTACTTACACAAGAGACGCAAGGGAAACTTA